TTTAGTTCTGATACTGGGGTTCTAGTTCTGATTCTGGGGTCTTAGTTTTAATAGTGAGATTCTAGTTTTGATTCTGGGTTCTAGTTCTGATTATAGATTGTAGTTCTGATTCTGGGTTCTTCTTCCGATTATGGGGTTCAAGTTCTGATTCTGGAGTTCTAGTTCTGTTTCCGGAGTTCTAGTTCTGTTTCTGGAATTCCAGTTCTGATTTTGAGGTCCTAGATCCCATTCGGGAGTTCTAGTTCCAATTCTGAGGTTCTAGTTCTGATTTTGGTGTTCTAGCTCCGATTCGGGGACCCAGTTCAGATTCTAGAATTTTATTTCCTATTCTGGAGTTCTTGTTCTGATTCTGAGGTTCCAGTTCTGATTCGTTGGTTCTATTTCTTAGTTTCAGGTTCTAATTCTGATTCTTGGGCTCTAATTCTGATTCTGGGTTCTAGCTCCGATTATAGGGTTTTATTTTTAATTTTTGGGTTCTAGTTGTGATCTTGGGTTTTAGTTCTGATTCTGTTATACTAGTTCAGATTCTGTAGTTCTAGTGCTGGTTCTGGTGTTCTAATTCTGATTTTGGAGTTCTAGTTCAGATTCTGGTGTGTCTAGTTCTGATTTTGCAGGTTTAGTTCTGATTCTGGGATCTTAGTTCTGATTCTGGTGTTCTAGTTCTAATCTGGGGTTTAAGTTCTGATTCTGGGGTTCCAGTTCCGATAAAGGGATTTTAGTTCCGATAATATGGTTCTAGTTCTGATTCTGAGATTTGAGTTCTGATTATGTTCTAGTTCTGATTTTGGGATTCTAGTTCTCATTCTGGTGTTCTAATTTGATTCTGCGGTCCTAGTTTTGATTCTGGGATTCTAGCTCTGATTCCGGTGTTCTAGTTCTGATTCTGGGATTCTAGTTCTGATTCCGGTGTTCTAGTTCTGATTCTGGGGTTCTAGTTCTGATTCCGGGGTTCTAGTTCTTATTCTGGGTTCTAGTTCTAATTCAGGTGTTCTAGTTCTGATTATTTGGTTCTTGTTCTGCTTCTCGTGTTCTTGTTCTGATTCTTCGATTATAATTCTTATTCTTAGGTCCTAGTTCTGATTCTGGGGTTCTAGTTCTGATTCTGGGGTCGAAGCTTTAATTCCGGGGCCTTAATTCTGATTACGGGGTCCTAGTTCTGATTCATGGGTCCATATTCTGATTCTGGTATTCAAGTTCTGATTCTGACATTCTAGTTCTGATTCCGGGGTTCTAGTTTTTCATCTTAAAGTATCCTAGTTACATCAGCATGTTTTACCTCGTCCTCACATAAAAAAAATCTTCTGTCAGCTTCTCTTATAAATCAGCTGCCGTGTTCTAGTGTATCAAATGTTTCCTTTAGAAATATAAGCCAGGGTTTACCCACCTATACACAAATAACCCGCACATAGAAGAGAGGAGCTTACGACGACGTTCTGGTCCGACTTGGACCATTTACAAAGTCATACTAACGAGAAGGAGAGAAGGAGGGAGTATATGTAGGCAGGAGGAGGTAGTGGTAGTAGTGGAGGTAGAAGATAGTAGTGGGGAAGGTAGCATGGTGGAGGTGGAGCCAGTCAAATACTATGATAAGTAAGTAAGTAAGTTTATTCAGGTATACACAAATACAGTTACATAGAATTATCATACATAGCAGCATATGTGTAGAGAACCTGGGATAACCCAAAAAAGTCAGACAGAGTGACTTATTTCCATTGGGGTCCTTTTACCTTATTATTATAATATAAAGGTTATAATATTTTCTTATTATTCTATAATGAAGATAACATCTTATTATCATACTAAAAAGACTATCTACTACACGAGGGTCATTAAGACTATCTGCCATACGAGGGTCATTACTAGGAATAAGGTAAAATTTACACGTATGTTAGCTAAAAAAATAGAAAATCATTCCCCTCCCTTTCTGTAGCTACATTCATCATACACCTTTTGGCACTCTTCTTGAACTGGTTCATGCTATGACTGGCTTTGACATGTGCGGGCAGTCTGTTCCATTCCTTTATTGCTGTACAATAAAAGGTGTTTGAAGCCTGGCCAATGACTGTGGGTACTACAAAGTTGTGCTCTCTACCCCTAGTACTATGATTGCTTTGGTTCCCAACCTTGACAAAATTGACAGCAAGATATTCTGGACACTGTTTGTGAGCAATTTTATAAACATGATTTAGCTTCAGTTGTTTTACTCTGCCTTCAACATTCAGAATATCCAACTGCTGTAATTCATCCTGTCCTACATGTTCTCTTGGTCCCAGCTCCAGGATGAATCTTACGATTTTGTTCTGGGTGATTTGAAGTCTATCTTTCAGTTTTTTTGTCAAGGCAGAGTACCATGAAGAGCAAGCGTAATCCAGCCTCAGTAGGTAGATACTGTGCTTGTCTATACAGGAACTTCAGTCTGGCATTCGCTTTCTTTACTACACTGTTCCCTATCAATTCTCCTGACATGCATGGGTCAAAGGGGATTCCCAGATATTTTACTGATGAAACCAAAGTGATGGGCTCCCCATTACACTGAACATTAAAATTATTTACCCTTCTCAGTTTATGTTTCGTGCCAAAGAGAATGGCTTCAGTTTTCCCGAGGTGTAATGATAGTTTGTTGTCTACTAACCATTTGCTGCAGGACTCCAGTTCCAGTGTTAAAACATTAGCTATATCTTGTGGGTCTTTACCTGACAGTAACAGGGCACTGTCATCTGCATACACTGATAGGCATGTCATTGACATAACATAAGAATAATAAGGGTCCCAGAAAACTACTCTGGGGAACTCCACATGCTATCGGCAGGGGTTCTGATTCCGTTTTGTTGATTTTGGCAATTTGTCTCCTGTTGCTAAGGTAGGACTTAAACAAGTCTACAGAACCTATACCGATAGCTTGAAGTTTCTTACATAATATATTGTGGTTGACAGTATCGAAGGCCTTTTGCAGGTCTAAGGTTACCATACCTATGAGGTTCCCCTTTGACGTTTCAGTTCTCAGGTAATCCATCAGATTAATTAGGGAGGTGTCTGTAAAATCTGAAAAGGAGGGGTGCCACGAGTACATTAAGAGCCAATACAGTAAGTGTGAGGGGTGCCTAAGCCTGTTCAACTGCCTCCCAGCATACATACAGCATACCAATAGACTCCTGGCTGTCTTCAAGAAGGCGTTGGACAAGCACCTAAAGTCAGTACTTGATCAGCCGGGCTGTGGCTCGTACGTCGGTTTATGTGCACCCAGCAGTAACAGCCTGGATGATCAGACCCTGATCCGCCACGAGGCCTGGTCTCAGACAAGGCCACGGAGGCGTTGACCCTCGATACCCTCTGCACTGCAGGGGAGCTAGGGGCCCACAGAGGGTAACAGCAAGAACACAGAGGGAGGGGAAATAAAATAAATAAATAAATAAATAATGAAGGAACAAATACCCAAGGCAGAAGAAAGACAACCCAAAGGAGGAAATGGAACGAGGAAATGGAAAGAGAGAGAAGAAGAAAAAGGAGGAATCATGTTTAGTCATGGGTGTTCTGAAGTTTGGAGCATTTTACAATAAAGTGGGAGAGGAAGGCATCTACAGTGACGAATCCAGGACTAAGATTCATTAAGGAAAGTTGTGTATTAGAGAGGATTCAACCAGACGGCTACTGTTGAAGTTGGAAGTACGGAAGACAGTTTTAGCAGAAGACCAGTCGATAGGATGGCTGTGATCTCTGACACGACAGAAAAGAGCATTGTTAGTGTCGGCAAGCCTAACACTACGTTTGTGCTCCCTAAGTCTGTCAGAAAAAGAACGGCCAGTTCTCTTTCTGACAGACTTCGGTCCAAGTCGGACCGAAACATCGTCGTAAGCTTCTTTCTTCTATGTGCGGGTTATTTGTGTATCGTTCCAGCCACGGAATTGTGCCTTTTTTGTTATTTACCCACCTATGTCTTGTGTAAAGAAGACATATACGAGACATATGGGGGAACATTCATGTATGATTACAGCTCCTGTGGGAGACATGTCTCCTAAATCAAAAAGTTCTTTGTCCGTTGCATACGTGTCTTATTTACAGTTTTTGGTACTAGTTACTTAATACCTTTTATGGGGCCTGTCATCCCCCTTGACAGGTCATTGTCTCACAAAGGGTATTAACGTAATTTACACCCTTCTCTTGCTTTGTCTATTTCTCTACTATGTAATTCCATTTGGCCTGTGAGGTGGGATTTACTCTCCCTAAATACATGTTGGTTTTCACAAATTAATCTTTTTCTCTCTACCTTTTCTCTCTAGGTGCTTCACGATCCTCTTGATGATTCTCTCTAAAAGTATGGACAGTATACACTACTGTGATACCGGATGTATTCCTGGTATCATGGGTTTTCAGTTGTCCAGTATCTACTACACTTCTAATAATATTTTACAGGTCTTTGGTTTTAACGTCTCACAGAGCTCTTGCTCCTTCCCTCGTAACCCATAAGAATATGTCGCTTGTCATATATTGCTTGTTATATTCAATTCTCTTAACGCTGTTATCATCCATCATTTAATGGATGCATTACATGCAGTGATTACCAGTCTGTCTGTCTCGTCTTCCCTTCCAACCCATTCCTCACCTCCTTTTCCTATAGCTCCCATGATTACATTATGAAGACCTACTTCAAGTTTACTGTTATCACTTACAAGGAAATAGACTGGGAAAACTTTGATCTTCAAAACTGAATTTTTATGATGCTTTGTTTATATGCTAAGACTGAATATTCAACACAGCTAAGATACGTGTACAGATACTTAAATGCAACGTTATGAATAATTTGCTAGTTCTGTACACTCCCTTTAATAGGGCAATATGTCCAAGCTTTCAACAAGAAAAAATGCTGTATATATTCTAGTAACAAGTGTATACCAGTACCTGATATAACTGTAACATTTATGTTGGCATCAGGTCTTGAACAGTACATCGGAAAGAGGCTGTAACCATCATTAAACAAGGAAGAGGGAACAAAACACCGGGGCGTCACGTATAACTTTACTGCTACAGAAAACAGACCTAAAGAGTCATTCAAGGAAAGAGGATTTACCTCCGCTCTCTGTCTCGACAGCTCTCCCTCAAGTTATCAGGTGAAAAATAAACAATATCACAATAGGTACATTCCCTGGGATCCACAAATGGTTGATCTGATGGTGTTCGCGTCGAGGAGATAATGAAAGAGTCCGTAGTTTGTTTTACAGGAGAAAAATAGCAGATCTATGTTGAATTGTTTAGAATTGCAAAGTGGGGGTTCGGAAGGAAAAATCTAAAAAATGCTCAAAATAATTATATTTTTTTCAGCTTTTGGACTTTTATCTGGAAGACATGTATGAAAAAGATTAGAATATATAAGTAAAAAAAAACTTGTCCGAAGTCAGTGTTTTGCCTGGTGTGGAAAGGAGCGTGAGGGACTTAGCACGGGAATAGTTCCCAGTACGTGAGGTGCACCTAGCGACTGATGACTGCCTCTCCCTCATAGGTAACATCAGCATTAAATCCTCCATCTGCATTGACACTGAAAAAGATCATAAGAGTATAATTTAAATTTAGTACTAAATGAGAAGCAACTATTACATACATATAATATATATATATATATATATATTATATTATATATATAAATATAATATATATATATATAATATATAATAATATATATAATATATAAATTATATATATAATATTAAAAGTATGGAAGAAATAGTAAAATGCTTGGTTGCAAAATATGAAAAATTAGGAAATAAAATCCGAGTATTTTCATGTGCTTACACACATATCTTAAGAGGAATAGGGTATGTGTGTCAGCATATGAAAGCACTGAGGTCACACTGTGATATTCCCCCCCCCCCCAGCCGAGGATCGAACCCGAACTATTTATCCACCCTCGAATGAAGCTAGGTAAATTCTCGACGCCTGAGACCACTGGACCACCATCCTTCAAAGGTTAGGTGTCCAGCAAGTACACTGGACTTGCCACTCCTGACGCCAGTACATTCGTGGCCGTGAATAACTAGAGGAACTGATTTCTTTCTCCTTCCATTTGGATGCCTGTCTCACGTGCAGTGCACGTAATTACTAACATCACTACACTGCACCATCATCAATAAACTACACTACCATCACTACTGCACTAAGATCACTATATGATACATCACTATACAAAGAACACTGCATTTCACTAATATAACTACAATATACAACGTATCATCACAACATCACCATTACAGTAATACCACAGTAACTGTTCTATTATACCACCATCTTAACATCACCACACTAAATACATCACCACACTAAATACATCACCACACTAAATACATCACAATCACTAAAGTATCACTGCAATTCACTATCCCTATACTCCACCATCAATGCACTTTACTACCATTACTACAGTATTTGTCCATCATTATACTACACTGTGCCATCACAATAGTACGTTATGCTAAATTATACCAACATTACACAACTGCATTACACCACCAATCGTTACAATACACCCTTATGACTATAATACACTCCATATCACTACAATACAACCTTATCACAATAATACACCCCTATTACTACAGTACACCGCTATAACTACAATACATACCTATCACTACAATACACCCCTATCACTACAATACATCCTTTACTACAATTACTCCCTGTCACTGCGTACATGCCTATCATTACAATACATCCTCATCACTACAATAAACCCCATCACTACAATACACCCCTATCATAACAATATATCCTTATCACTACAATACATCTCTATCCTTACAATACTCCCCTGTCACTGCAATACACCGCTATCACTGCAATACACCTCCATAACTACAATACACCACTATCACTACAATATATACCTATCACTAAAAATATATCCTATCACACAATACATCCCTATCACTACACTGAAGAATACTGCCATCACTGATTATCCCACCATACTTTTAAACTACCATTAATAAAACCATACCCAGGCGGGATTTGAACCCGCGGTCAGAGAGTCTCAAAACTCCAGATTGCTCTACCATCATTACACTGTACAACCATTTTCACACTAAATCACTAACACTACACGTCTTCACCACTACACTATAATTCCTAAATTACAAACCCTTAGTACTTCATAACCACCACACTAAACTACACCACCAATAATATTATTCATCTTTACCTCATAACCGGCTCACCTTCATAACTATAATTACCACAAATCTTAACTAAACTCACTCACTTCAGAGCAGTAACTAGCTTCACTATATTAACTTAATGGCATATGTGGGGCTTTTCAGAAAGCTTCTCTTACATTCATCTAAAAATCTACGATTTGACTGTGACTAATTGTTGTTCTTATTCATCATGGATTCCGAGAATCAGTTTGAATACCTAAAGTATGCCCGCTTTGAAGCTCGCTATTGGCAGGAAAAAGGGAAATACCTGGGAGGAGGGATGACAGGTGATGCCTACCTCATCGAGCCTAAACACGCCTGTGGGATCAATTGTAGTCAAACTGGGCAAGTCTGATTTTCCCCTTTCAAAATACAAATCAGAGGCTTCCAGACTGCGATATCTGTCTGGAGCTGGGAGGATGTCCTCGCCTGGTAGCAGTGTGTGGGATGTCCGCCTTCGTAACCACCTTCGAATGTAAAACACATCTTGAAACTTTTTAGCCAACTGTGGAGCCAGGGAAGCAATGGGAAATTTTCTTAAAGTTGGCATCGGTGTGAAAGAAGTTCATGACAAAGGATTACATACATAACGATATCAACCTGAAAAACATCATTGTTTCAGGATCCTTCGGTAATTATAAAGTATCTATAATTGATTTTGGAAGAGCTAGACGAGATGGGGAAGTAATTGAGACTTTTGCTTCTCTGACCCTGAACGATTCCCACACGCAGTCCTGAAGTGGCGATGGACAACCTTGTACACCACCTGCCGATTGTCTATGCAATGGGCAAAATGTATCTAGATATTATGAACAAAATTTGATGAAGTCCCAAGAACTTGAAACGTAGCAGAGCAGGCCAGGCAAAGGGGACCTTATGAAACCCCCTTCCCTCTTGGACTTCATTGCTCAAATCCAAAACATCATCAATGTTGAAGCCCTCCAAGAGAGAAGTCCCTGGCCAAACCAAGACCAAATTCTGGACAGAAAGTTCTGGCCAGACTAAGACAAAGTTCGGACAGAGGTCCTGGCCATCCCAAGACAAAGAAGCCCCACAGTGCTGTCTCCAACCATATAAAACCCAGTTAGCATGGTAAGCAGAAGCTAGGCGGTCTGCAGCCGAGAAGAGTCGTGCCAGAGCAGAGCATGGAAAAGGGCCGGAGGTTCCAAAAAAATGAACATTTAGTAGGTGTAGGATTAGGAAAAAAAAAAAAAAAAAAAAAAAAAAAAAGGAAACTCGGAGAGCAGCCACCTCCACGGGGTTTGAGTTCGGGGTGTTATGTGTGGACTGTAAATAATCAGTCATGCAAAATAGCTGAGAGCTGCTCAATTTACCTATATTAATATTTTATATATATATATATATATATTTATATATATATATATATATATAAAATATATATAATTATATTTATTACAATAAACCATGGTATTGCCAGTTTGATGTGTTGTCATGTTGGTTTAGTGTAGTGATGGTAGTGTAATTTAGAGATGGTGGTAAAAGCTGGTAGTGGTAGTGTTGTGTTTGGTAGCTATGGTGTTGTGTAGTGTAGTGATGATGTTGTTGTGTAGTGTAGTGATGCTTGCATTTAGTGAAGTGATGGTATTGTGTATTATAGTGATAATGAACATATGAAACATAAGAAATAAGAAAAAACGAACAGTGGAACAGGCCTACTGGACTATGTGAGGCAGGTCCAGTTCTCCCACCGGCTTAAGCCAATGACTTAACATACATAGTGAGGTCAGACACATCATTGAGGAGCACTGCATCCGACCTATTAGAACAAGCCAGTAAAGGGCCAGCTCACATCCACCCCCACCCACTCATGTATTTATCCAACCCATTTTTAAAACTAGACAATTCGGTTGGTTGAGTAGTATACTGATGATGCTATTATATAGGGTGGTGGCCCCAATCTACTGATGGTGTAGTGTGGGGATTTTGGTGTTGTGAACTGATAATGTTGTAAAGTGATGAAATAATGTAGGGATGATTGGTGTAGTTCAGTGATGGTGTTTTGTAGTGATGGCTGTGATGTGTAGCTATCCTTGTATGATGCAGTGATTTTTTTTTTGTTTATGGACTGTTGTACAATGTAGTAATGGTAGTGTAATGATTAGTGGTATGGTGTAATGATGGTATAATGTGGTGATGGCAATATAGTGTGGTGGTAGAAGTTTAATATAGAAAAGTGTAATGATTGTGTAGTGTAGTGTAGTGTTAGTGATAGTAGTGTTTTATTAGTTTCGGTGGTGTGGGTAAGGTAGTGATGGTTTTAATGTAATGATGGTGTAGTGTAATGACAGGGGTGTAATGGAATGATGGTGGTGTAGGGTAAGGTAGTGATGGTGGTGCAGCATAATGATGGTGTAGTGTAATGACAGTGGTGTAATGGTATTATGGAGGTGTAGTGTAATGATGGTGGTGTAGTATTATGATTTGTGGTGTAGTGTTTAAAGATAGAGGTGTGTGTTATGAAGGTGGGAGTAGTGTTATAATACTAGTGTAGTGTTATTGACAGTGGTGTTTGTGTTATGATAGTGGTGTAGTGTTATGATAGTGGTGTAGTGTTATGAAGGGGGAGTGTGTTATAATAGTGGTGTAGTGTTATGATAGTGGTGTAGTGTTATGATAGTGGTGTAGTGTTATGATAGTGGTGTAGTGTTATGAAGGTGGAGTAGTGTTATAATAGTGGTGTAGTGTTATGATGAAGTGTAGTGTTATAATAGTGGGTGTAGTGTTATGATTTGTGGTTTTAGTGTTAAAGAAGGTGGAGTAGTGTTATAATAGTGGTGTAGTGTTATGATAGAGTGTAGTGTTATAATAGTGGTGTAGTGTTATGATAGTTTGTGTAGTGTTATGATAGTGGTGTAGTGTTATGATAGAAGTGTAGTGTTATGATGTGGTGTAGTGTTATGATAGTGGTGTAGTGTTATGATAGTGGTGTAGTGTTATGATAATGGTGTAGTTTTATGATAGAAGTGTGTGTTATGATAGTGGTGTAGTGTTATGATAGTGGGTTTAGTGTTATGATAGAAGTGTAGTGTTATAATTTGGTGTAGTGTTATGATAATAGTGTAGTGTTTATGATAGTGGTGTGTAGTGTTAGATGAAGTGTAGTGTTATGAAGGTGGGAGTAGAGTTATAATAGTGGTGTAGTGTTATGATAAAAGTGTAGTGTTATAATAGTGGTTTTAGTGTTATGATGTAGTGTAGTGTTATGATAGTGGTGTAGTTTTATGATAGAAGTGTAGTGTTTGATAGTGGTGTAGTGTTATGTAGGGGGGTGTTAGTGTTATGATAGTGGTGTAGTGTTATGAAGGTGGAGTAGTGTTATAATAGTGGTGTAGTGTTATGATAGAAATGTAGGTTATGATAGTGGTTGTAGTGTTATGATAGTGGTTTGTAGTGTTATGATAGTGGTGTAGTGTTATGATAGTGGTGTAGTGTTATGATAGTGGTGTAGTGTTATGATAGTGGTGTGTGTTATGATAGTGGTGTAGTGTTATGATAGTTGCTGTAGTGTTATGATAGTGGTTGTAGTGTTATGATAGTGGTGTAGTGTTATGATAGTGGTGTAGTGTTATGATAGTGGTGTAGTGTTATGATAGAAGTGTAGTGTTATGATAGTGGTGTAGTGTTATGATAGTGGTGTAGTGTTATGAAGGTGGAGTAGTGTTATAATAGTGGTGTAGTGTTATGATAGAAGTGTAGTGTTATGATAGTAGTGTAGTGTTATGATAGTGGTGTAGTGTTATGATAGAAGTGTAGTGTTATGATAGTGGTGTAGTGTTATGATAGTGGTGTAGTGTTATGAAGGTGGAGTAGTGTTATAATAGTGGTGTAGTGTTATGATAGAAATGTAGGTTATGATAGTAGTGTAGTGTTATGATAGTGGTGTTTGTGTTTGATAGAAGTGTTAGTGTTATGATAGTGGTGTAGTGTTATGATAGTGGTTTGTAGTGTTATGAAGGTGGAGTAGTGTTATAATAGTGGTGTAGTGTTATGAAGGTGTAGTGTTATGATAGTAGTGTAGTGTTATGATAGTGGTGTAGTGTTATGATAGAAGTGTAGTGTTATGATAGTGGTGTAGTGTTATGATAGTGGGTTTTAGTGTTATGAAGGGGAGTAGTGTTATAATAGTGGTGTAGTGTTATGATAGAAGTGTAGTGTTATGATAGTGTTTTAGTGTTTTTGATAGTGGTGTAGTGTTATGATAGAAGTGTAGTGTTATGATAGTAGTGTAGTGTTATGATAGTGGTGTATGTAAAGATAGTGGTGTAGTGTTATGATGTGGTGTAGTGTTTTTATAGTGGTGTAGTGTTATGTAGTTTTGTGTAGTGTTTTGATAGAAGTGTAGTGTTATGATAGAAGTGTAGTGTTATGAGAGTGGTGTAGTGTTATGATAGAAGTGTAGTGTTATGATAGAAGTGTAGTGTTATGATAGTGGTGTAGTGTTATGATAGAAGTGTAGTGTTATGATAGAAGTGTAGTGTTATGATAGTAGTGTAGTGTTATGATAGAAGTGTAGTGTTATGATAGAAGTGTAGTGTTATGATAGTGGTGTAGTGTTATGATAGAAGTGTAGTGTTATGATAGAAGTGTAGTGTTATGATAGTGGTGTAGTGTTATGATAGAAGTGTAGTGTTATGATAGAAGTGTAGTGTTATGAGAGTGGTGTAGTGTTATGATAGTAGTGTAGTGTTATGAGAGTGGTGTAGTGTTATGATAGAAGTGTAGTGTTATGATAGAAGTGTAGTGTTATGATAGTAGTGTAGTGTTATGAGAGTGGTGTAGTGTTATGATGACAAATTTACTGATGTTATTCAATAAAGCATTTGAGGCAGTAGACAACGATCAAGAATATGATGTTGTGTATCTGGTTGTCAGTAAAGCCTTCGACAGAGTGCCTCATGGTCATGGTCTAGAACGTTAAGTTCTAAGAAACATGGATCGAGGCATGGCTTACTAATAGAAAGCAGAGAGTTTCTATCAGTATGGCAAATCTGAGTGGGGACCAGTTACTGGTGGCGTTCCACAAGGATCAGTTTTAATCCCATTGTTATTCATTATTTACATTAATAACCTTGATGAAGGAATCTGCTAATGAGACAAAAATAGGCCGAATGATTGATTCTGTGGAGGATACCAATGAACTCCAGGAGGATTTGGGCAAATTAATATCTTGGTTTCAAAATTGCTAGAATGCGGTTCAATGTGTAATCAAGTGTAAAGACTAACCATTTGTGATTGAAAATAGTCTCGAAGTTAGTAAAACTAGGTGATGTAGAAGCTTGATGCAACCCAGAATGTTGAAAAAGACTTGGAGTCATGGTAAGCAAAATTTAAAAAAAAAAAGCCAAGAAAACCCAGTGTCTAAGTGTGCACAATAAGCTGACATCCCAATAGGTTTTTATTTTCAAAAGAGTATAACAGGAGTCCAAAAGTTATTTTAAAACAGCTACTATACCTCACTAGTGAGGCTTAGATTATGGCCGCTCAGTTTTTTGGACCGGTCCTTATTACTACAGGAATGGATATAAATCATTGGAGAAACATGTAAAGAAGGTATGATAAAGACGATTCACTTCTACAAGGAAATCTCCGCCGCATGAAGATAGACTTAGGAGCCTATAATCTTCACTCTCTTGGAGATGACGTAGAATGAGAGGAGATATCATCCGCAGTGTATAAGTGAAAGATATGAAGCATAAGCAACTTCGATATTATAAGAAATAATTATCCTTGTTAAGCATTTATTAAATTACTGGCATGTCTTATGTATCTAATGAGTTTTCAATCCAGGTAAATTTAATTTTCCAAACCGTGGGAACAGTCCTTCGAGTAGCGTAAATCATATTCCAGGCGGGGGACCCCTGGGTAGCTCAAAAAGAAATTTGACAAATATCATATGTCTGGGAACGCTTGAGTTAGTATTGGAGTGTCTGGGTGTAACAGGAGTAAATTCCTGGGTCTTATTTGAAGGAAATGTTTGAGGCAAATTCACATGAGGAATTTTGGAGGGGTAAGCACCTGCCTTAATATGGACCAGTAGGCCTGCTGCAATGTTCTTACCCATATTCTTTGCTGTTCCTTATTCTATCACACATAGTAAACCTCTCCATGGCCATTGAAGCTGGATCATGACTCTGGCACTGCCCGTCTGAGAGTAGATCATAACACAAGGCATAGATTTAATCACTCACCACACAAACAACGACCTTCGGGGACCTACTAGTACTTGACGAACTGACTGCGGTGCCGGGAGAAGGACTTCGTTACTGCCCCTCATTGTTTGTCTCCGGTCGACGGTAACCTCTCCTTGTGGCTGTAGGAGAGTTGCCACTCTCCAGGGTCATCCAAAGCGTATTTCGAAGGTGTCTTCGCTGAAGACAAACACAACAAATAATTAAACCACCACGTCAAAACGATTCAACATAGTAAACATAGTAATGCTGCTACCAACATGATGGTTGAATAAATGACTGTATATATATATATATATATATATTATATTATAATTATATATATTATAAAAATATATTAAATAATATATATATAATAAATATTTATATATATATTAAAATATATATATAATATATATATAATATATATATATATATATATAATATATATATATATATAATATATATGATATATATTATTTTAATTTTTTTTTAAATAATCACATCTGGCCGATATTCCCACCAAGCAGGGTGGCCCAAAAAAATGAAAAAACTTTTCCGAGCCATCATTCACTTCCCATCAACTGTCTTTCCAGAACAGAAGGGTGCTTTTAACAACTACAGTTTTTAAACTTGCAACTTTAACACTCCCCCACCTTCAGAGTGCAGGCACTGTACTTTCCATCTCCAGGACTCAGTCCGGCCAGCCGTTTCCCCGTGAAACCGCCCCTTCATAAATGTTTTACTTTGCTCACGTAACTTCCAACGCCAGCACGTCCAAAGTTATTAAAAACCATTTGTCTACCTCTTCATACTTTATCCCTATCTAAACTACGCTCCAGCATGACTGCTGGAAGTCCAAGCCCCCTCGCACACAAACCCTTCCTTACTTAATACATAACCCACCTCCCTCTCAACCTTTCCCCTAGGCCCGACCCCACCCGCGCTTCCTTCCACTACAGACTGATACACTCTTGAAGGTTATACTGTTTTTTCGACCTCCATTCCTCCTCCACAGGATCCGAACCTACCGTCAACAAACCCTTGCCTCAGCCCTCTGGACAACAGTATTGGTAATCCCCCACCTCCCTCCTAACCTTCCCAAACAAGAAAACGAATTCTCTGCATTATATTCAACCACACATTGCACCTGCAAGACATGACATCCTCCACTGGCCTCCAGCCTTCTCCTCGCTCAACATTCAATCACCCCTGGCTTCACACCCATATAAAGAGCGTTGGGGTAAAACCTATACTCTCATACATTTTCCCCCTCTTTGCCTCCAAGGACAAAGTTGATAAATTAGACACAAAAAATGGAACTCTTTTGGGTATCTTTAATGAGGTAAACGTTTTTTCGCCACACCAGTGGCTTATCATCAGTCCCATAAGAAGGAAGAAAGAAACTGAAGAACAGGAGGAGAATGAGGTTAAATCAGTCCCTCAACCTTTTGAAGGTCGATGTGTTTATTCAAGATAGATGGACTGATACCACATCGACTCAAGGTTTTGAGAGGACTTATTTATTCCTTCTTTTTTCTCCCTTACTACTCTCTTACCATAATCATCATTTACCCACCAATCCAGCTCCTCTGCTTTTGCCCACCCGCACGCACCCCAACCACTTCCTGTAACACAGGAAAACTCTGCTGACACACTCTAACAACACAAACTACATTTTTAGAAAAAACGCTAACCCCATACAACCCTCATTCCCGAAAACCCCTTGCCTATGCGCTCATTAGCCCATCCATCCCCCAATACATTGTTTTATTTTTATCTTACGCCTAATACTCTGCCCATTCCACTTTTAGTTATACAACCTTCACCGTCACATTCTCCAGTCACTTAAAAAGTGAACTGATTATATCCATGTGGGCCGTCCGTACTATAACATGTACTATCCTGAATGTCAACTCAACAGTCCTTTTTTATCGTACCAATACATAAATCCCAACAAACTACTGTCATTACGCCCTACAATCATAGCTTGTATACGTAATTTATCCCCTCTTTTTCCTTAAAATATGTATTTACTAAAACTAAAACCCCCCTTACCTATACAAAGTATCAATCAAAGGGCACCCATTATCATTTACCACCCTGGTAAACCGCTCCACAACGATACCTATTCACAAAGCACCCCTCTAAAAGTTTCTCACTACATCAGCATTCAGGTTCCCCCTCCCACAATTAACTCTCTCACTTGGTTTCAAAAGGCTCCTATCTCCACTAACATCTCCCAAAATCCTCTCTCCTCTATCTCCTCCGCATTCCTCTCTTTTCTATCCCTCCAGGTGGCCATACACCTTAGTATGACCCTCCACTTCTCGCATCCAACCTTTACTTTAAAAATCCACAAAATGTCTTGGAATTTAAACACATTCTAGTCCTCCTTTTCTTCCTTCTTTTCCTCCTCCATAACTGATCATTCACAATTACTTGCTACCTCACCCCTTCCTTTGCTCTAACCTCTCTCAGATACTCCAGATTTAAATCCCATTTAATTTCCCCCCACCGAACTCCGTTCTATCCCCTACCCCCCTTCAACAGCTTTGTTTCGCTTAGGGCCAGGAACATCCAACTTATTCTTTTCATTCATAACATCAGCAATCATCTGGTTTCTTCTTGTCATCTGCATCCACATACACGGCACATTTAAAAGCAATTCCCAGTTTAAATAAAGTTTTTTCTTCCTTGCTCTTTTTTTTAAGTAAATGTCTACCAGGAGAAGAGGTTTACTACCCATTGCCCAAGTTTACTCGGTTGGTCAGTTAAGAAGCTGAAGGGGAATAATTATTAAACTGACTCACCTTTTTTGAAAGATTCACGTGATTTGCATGTATTGTGTAGATACAAGTTGTGGATTATATGGTTTTTCTTCTACACAATACATGTTGTATGTAGATAAATGTGTATGTAGATACATGATTATGGATATAAGTTTGTTTCCTGCCACATACATGTAATTTATATGTACACTAGATTGTAGATACATGTGCATTTCGAGATACATGTGTTTGTAGATATTATATTATCTAGATAAAGTTTTTTTCTAGAATACATGTAATTTGTTGAAAAATGAAATCTGAAGATTCATGAATTGCTCATACAACGTGTTTTGTTGATACATGTTAAATCCCAACATGTATCTACAAATACTGTGTTTGAGAAAAAGGCATATGTTTGTAGATGCATGTGTTTGTAAGATACCACTTGGTGGATATGTTTCTCGTTGTGGGCGAGCAGCAGTCCAGCACCACCAGGGCAGCCAGCAGGATCCACCTTGGGTAATGTAAATAAACACTAGACACATAAATCACCCATCAAAGACAGCATTTAAATTACTGTAAAAGCAACACTTAGCAAATGAAGCGAATTATCCCTCCAATCTCCCTGACCTGGACAAACGAGGCTGAGAACTACTAAGGCGGAGAGCCTCAAACCCACAGAATCTTGGAGCAGTTGACCCCACACGGAACGGAGCCTCAGCCTCGCTCTTAGAGCTTTGGTTGAGACCCTAAACCCCCCACACTGACGGAAGCCTCCAACCCTCTCTTGAGCAAGCTGGTTGACCAACCCACACGTGACGGAGCCTCAGCCACGCTCTTCAGAGAGGTTGACCCCCCACACACGGACGGAGCCTCAACCTGCTCTTTTAGAGTCTGGTTGATGCCACAAGGGACGGAGGAGCGAGTCCTTTCAACAAAACGGCTCTCTGAGCTGTATAACTCATTCGCGGGTTAAGGCCTTCACGAATGGCAAAAAATTTTATTGGTTTTGGGGGTAACATAGCATTAAGTCAGTCTGTGGTTCGTTGAGGACAGTTCACAACTGCGTCCTTACTTGTTCAGTATGCCTTAACTGTTTCAGTATCCTTACTTGTTCAGTACTCCTATACACATTTGCAGTGTCCCTTACTGTTCAGTATCCTTACTTGTTCAGTATCCTTACATGTTCAGTATCCTTACTTGATCAGTGACCTTACTTGTTCAGATCATTACTTGTTCAGTATCCCGCTTCTATCTTGTCGTCAGTATCCTTACTTTGTTCAGTGTCCTTGAACTCTGATCAGTGTCCTACTTGTTCAGATATCATTACTTGTTCAGTATCTTTACCCCTTTGTCAGTTCTATCCTTACTTGTTCAGTTGTCTCCTTAACTTGTTTTCCAGTGACCCTTCTACTTGTCAGCAGTAAGTCCATAACTTGATCAGTATCTTTACTTGTTTCAGTATCCCTTTACTTGTTCAGTGTCCTTCTTGTTCAGTATATCCTTGCCTTGTAAGTCAGTATCCATACTTTATCATGTCCTTAACTTGCTCAGTATCCTTACTTGTTACATATCCTTTACTTTGTTCAGTATCCTTACTTGTTCAGTATCCTTAACTTGATATTTCAGTATCCTTAACTGTGTTTCAGTGTCCTTTTACCTTTTCAGTATCTTATTGTTCAGTGTCCTTACTTCTCAGTTCTACCTTACTTAGTTCAGTTAAACCCCTACCTTGTTTGCAGTGTCTTAACTTGTTCAGTAATCCAATACTTGTTCCAGTATCCCTTACTTGTCACAGTGGTCCTTACTTGTTCAGTGTCCTTTACTTCGTCCTTCAGGTAAATCCTTAATTGTTCAGTATCCTTTACTTTGTCAGGTAGTATGTCCTTACTTGTTTTTCAGTATCCTTACTTGTTCAGTATGCCTTAACTTGTTTTCAGAGTGTCACTACTTTTTTGTTCAGTATCATTACTTGTTCAGTATCAAAACTTGTTCCAGTATCTTTTACCTTGTTCATATCCTTACTTGTTTCAGTAGTCCTTACTTGTTCAGTGTCCTTACTTTGTTTCATTATCCATTACTTGTTCAGTATCTTTACATGTTTCAGTATATCCTTACTTTGTTCAGTGTCCTATAGTTCAGTATGCCTTGCTTGTTCAGTTATCCTTACTTATTCAGTGTCCTTACATGCTCAGTATCGCGTACTGGATTCATATTCCTTACTTTTTTCAGTACCTTACTGGTTCAGTTCACCTTACTTGTTCAGTATCCCTTACTTGTCCAAGAGTCCTTACTTGTTCAGTATCCTTACTTTGTTCAGTGT